TCAACATTACGCATGACAGATTTCATAAACCTTCATGGAATAAATGAGTAAGTGGGTGAATAAATAACATACAAATGAATAAATGGATGGTTTAACTTTCAAGGTCTAATCTTCTAATATGTGCACTCCATGTCTGTACTCACTGTGTGGTTATCCTGAAACTTATGAATTTATTTCATAAGCTTACACGTATTTCAAGACTGTGGAAGATATTCTGCCAGCTCAAGCATACTTACCACAAAGCCATGCTTACTGCTTCCAGAAGGCATCACCTTTCCTCCTGATGTTTGTCCATCAGACACTTATGCTCTATCTTCACCTGAGAGATGCAGAACGGACATAGCGTATGTGTCCAGCCTGAGCAGAGCAGTAGCTCTCACAAACGAGCTGGCTTGTGCTGATAACTGAGTTCTGATTCTCTTTCTTGGGCTTCTCCAGGATTCTGCAACTGAACCTGCCATTCTTCTGCACACATCTGAGCTGCTCTCCTCACGGGCCACACATGAGAGTCCTCTGCCAGCAAGAGCCCTGCATCAGCCACAGAGGCTCTGCACACACACCACACACCACCCCCGGGGGTCTACAATGGGGCAGCAGCAGCCACTGAACTTAACTCAGGTTGCTGGTTTTTTCCTAATCGCACAGAGAACCTTAATAAAAGGAGATCATTGCAATACCAGCTGTCAGCTCCAGTGTGGTCCTGTAATTATCACCTTGCCAGACCTTGAAATCTTCCTACACGCTATGTCATGGTTCTGAGTTCATCTGAACTTATGAATTATTTACAGAGATAATGAAACCTATCAGATTACCTTTCAACTTCATTAGAAAGGAAATGAACTGGCAAGGATACTGTAATGACTTACGAGAACACTTTCATGTCCTTAAAATAGCTGACTGACTTCGTCTCTCCTCTGCCCTCCACTCTCCCTCCCCTCCTGTTCTCCTGCTACTTCCTTTTCCTTCTCATCGAAGGCTTAGAAGGGCAGGAGACTGGAGGGGCCGATCGTGAGAAAAAGTGTGTGTGTATGTGTGTGTGAGTGTATGAGTGAGTGTGTGCACATATGAGTATGTATGTGTGTGTGTGCGCGTGCGCATGAGTGTGTGTACACGTGTGTGCACGTGTGCGCGCACGCGCGTGTGTACGTGTGTACGTGTGCATGCACATATATGAGCATGTGAGTATGTGTGCATGAGTGTGCACAAGCAGCTGACTCTGACTCACAGGGAAGGGACCCCACATCTTCCTGCCTGCTTTCTCCTGCCCCCCCACCCACACCCACCGCCGTGGGTGAGATTGTAGAAGGCAAGCCTCAAGGATGAAAACCAACCAGAAAGGATATTGTGAATAGAATTATCTTTTCCTTTTCTTTCCTCTTCCTCTCTCATCGCCCAGAAGGCTATTTATGAACGTATGGCGCTCACCCAGAACTTCTTCCTCAGACTCTACCCCACTACCTAACACCCCCTCGATGGCCAACTGACAGTCTGCATGCCCATGGGAGGTGCTGCTGCGTGCTCACCGCCTGGCTGCATGGCACCTCTCCTGCGTGGGCTGCACACCTGACCCTCCATGCTCTTCCCTGCTGTTGACAACGCAGACAATCCTAAAGGCCTCAAACAGGTAGGGCTACAGGATGGAAGGGCCCAGCCTCCAATGAGCTCACGGGAGGCCACCAGACCGGAAGCTTCTCCCTTGGACCAGGATGAGCCAGAAATAAGCTCCTCGTGCATCTAGCATCTACCTGTAACCACGTGTTTGCCTGCCCTGAGGTAAGGGCTGGACCAACCCCCCCACTCAAAATCTGACTTGCACATTGAGCCCGATGGTGCCACACGCGGACCAAGAGGAAGAAAGAGTTTACAACTGACATGATGAGTCTCTCAGGGGAGCAGGGCAGGCTCCCAACAGGATGGCTGGAGAATGAGGAAGGGTCTGGCTTCTGTTGTGATCGGGGGCGGGACTAGGGCAAGGGGTCCCACACACAGGCCGGGTTTTGTGCGGCTGGAACTCCCCACCCCCGGTATCGAGGGAGGGAGCATGCAGACCCTCTCCTCAGCTGGCCCAGATGTGGGGAAGAGGAGGAGGGGCTGAGGAGGCCCAGAAGCTGTCAGCAAACACACATGGAAAATGGAGTCAGCTTCCCTGTTACACCACAGCTGGAACCACCTGGATTCACAGGACATCAGAACCGAACCCATGATCTACATTATCTGGCCCGACCCTGGCCGCCCCCCTGCTCTCCTTGGGACCAGGCCCACCAACCCCCAAGCTGGGCCTGAGCAGAGGGCCATGTTGCAGAAGTGGTTGGGGCTAAAGTCACTGTCACCGTCCACCCACCATTCTCACCCTCGCAGCCCCTCTGCAGCCCCAGCCGGGAGAACCCCCAGGGCCTGTGGGGAGAGGGGTCCACCAGGCCCGTCTGCCAGGAGTGATGCTCAAGGGCTGGACTGCAGCTGCTTCCATGCACCAGGGAGCTGCAACCTGAGGCCTGGCTCTTTTTTCCCTCAAGATTTTCTAAGCCGGAGTCTAGGGTCGGTCACTCCATGACTCTGGAGAGCCACCATCTGCTCCTGTGGGTCTAGGGGTTGTGTTTTCCTGATTCCAAGAAGAACGAGCCCAGAGAGGTCTTCGCAGAGAGGGGCACCTGCAGACGCCCTGGCCGTGCTTGCCCCTGCTTTACCGCTACCGAGCCCAACAAGGCGTATCCAGGACGCGGCTGCACAAGGCTTCCACATTCCTCCCAGGACACCGGTTTCCACGGACCAGAGTGGCTCTCTCGGCTTCCTGCTGATTCCAGAAGGGATCCAAAATTTCATTCAACATGGATTTGTGGCAGCCTCATGAGAACCAAGCCCAGCTCTGGAGCTACCTAATGAAAGCCTATCCTCAGAGAGCCTATGATCCAGGGGATCCTGAATCCAGCCCTTCCTACCTTTTTCTGCACTTGGATTATGTGGATTAATTCTCATTAGTGCCACTCTCCAGTTTGGGGCAAGCCCCCCCTTTTCACACTCATTCCCATCCTTAGGTCCCCGTGTGGACCCATCCCACCCCAATACGCACTCATGTCTCAGGCCACCCTCAACCAGAGGGCTCTGCCCCGCTCCTCCCTCGGAGTCCCCAGGGCCACACTTCACAGCGAGTGCCCTGCAGACCAGCCTCCCCCTTGGTGCCAGGACCCGAGCTCCCCGCACAGGGCGGTTGGGGAAAGTCTGCGGGTGTGTTTAGCCCTGCAGGGCCCACGGGTGCTTGACCACAGATGTCTGCTTCCACCCAGCACCCCTCCACGCAGACAGCTCTCTGCAGCCCGCGGAGCCCAGAACATCACCTCACGCTTACTCCCTGCGGAGCTGTGGGAAAATCAGAACAGCATCACAAGACCTGTGCCATGATGCCGCCGAACAGCAACATTTCCCCGAGAGCCTCCAGCTCTGCCCTGCTGTTTTCACTGCCGCAGTCAAAACAGGCCGCCCTGGCTTGGGGGCCCGACGGATGCGTCTCTTTATAATTTATTGTGGGGACTGGTGCTTAACCAGTTCTCCTTTCCCCCAGGTCCCCTGCTCTGGAATCTCAGAGCTATATCCTAGCAGAAAGGTGATGCTGTTTCTCCAAGGTGCCAAGCATTTCTGAAAGGGCCAGGGTCTTCGGCTCAAAGCCTGGGCGTGGCGTTGGGACAGAAACTCTGCCATGGTCTGTAAGTCTCTCTGCCGGCTGCCAGGATTCCTTCCGGAAGCCAAACAGCCTCCCTGTGCCGGTACATCTCTCCACCAGCAGGTGCGTGTTTGCCCCTGAGGTACCTGGTCCAGGAGGAGAGGACCCTGCCTGGGGGAGGGGTGTGTGGGGAGGAATCACAGCCGCACGGCTGGCTGGGAGCAGACACCACACTCACTGGCCTGCAGAGCCGAGCAGAGAAGAGCTGTGGTTCCCAAGCTTGTTCTGTGTGCAGGCACCCGGGGACGCCCTGGACCCCCGTCAGCCCGACAGGACGGATAACGTGCGGAGTGTGGTCAGTTTTCACCCCAGCATTCACCCAGGACCCAGGCGTCCAGCTGCAGGGCGTGGAAGACCCCAGGGACGGGGCCCACCGTCCAGGTGGTGGACAGGAAGGACAGCGGCCCCCAAGGTAATTCAAGGGGCCCAAGTACAAAAGCTTGTTTGCGCTTAGCCGTGTTCCTCACATTACACGCAGGCCCTCAAGCCTTACAGCTGAAAAGTCTACTGTCCGATCATCTCTAGGGGACAAAAGCGCATAAGTGAGAGCCACTGGTGTCACTGCCAGTGTGGGAGGCAGGTCCGGCCCCGAGGGCCCTGGACACTGGGCTCTGGTGCGTACGCCCTTGGCAGGGCTGGCCACCAGCTGCCACGTGGCCACGGGCTCCTGGAGCGTGGCCATGCCGTGGACGGGCGGACGTGAACCCTGGGTACTGGGGTACCCAACATCCAGCAATGAGCCTGAGGGAGGCATGCAAGGCAGGGGAGGGCACGCGATCTGCTGCAGGTGCGCACGCTCCGACCGGGTCGATCTCAAGTTGCCGGGGCACCCCAGGGAAGACACATAGCGATCCCCCGTGAGCACAGCACAGAGCACAGGGCACAGCAAGATATCCTGAAATAACCAGGAGGTGGTGAGTTTTGACTCTACATTACCTTTGTTTTGAATATGATTTATTTCATTGTGAGCTTACGTAAGCCATTTTCATGAGGGCCGTGCTCAGAGCGAGAGCCCTAAGAAAGGTAAGAAGCGGCTCCCACAGCCCAGCACTCGCCAGCTGGGAAGGAAGCCCACGTGGGCGTCACGTGGTGGCCGAGGGGTCAGGTTCAGCACAGGAAGACACTCCTGGGGCGCCCAGAGCTATCTGAGCAGAGCTGAACAGGAGCAGAAACTGCCGTGGCGATGTGGGGCAAAGCCCGGGGGGCCTGCTACCCTGCCCGGCTCCCGGGCGCGGGGGCAGCCAAAACCCAATCCAGGGCGCGCCCCGGTGAGCACAGCGGCTGCAGCCCTCTGCCTAAGCCTCGGAGCCCAGGACGCCTGAAACCCGGACTGCTCACACCAGCGCGCAGTTTGGAAAGGAGCAGCCCCAGCCCGGGGACAGGAAGGGTTAGGAGGGGTCTGTGCAGTTGTCAAAGCAGCTCCACTCGCCTCTCGAGAGAGAGAACAAAACTGCCCCAACAGCGATAACTTCATTCAACATCAGTGCAATGGCCAAGTCTACAAACAGGAAGCACAGGGGAGGTCTCGAGAGGGCTGAGCTCTGTCCCCGGGGTCCTGTGCCAGCCGGCCGCAGGACTGGGGGGCAGCTAGCGTTCAATTCCAGGAAGGCTCCCTTCACATCTGTGGGGGGGAGGGAAGCCGAGCGCTGAGCACCAAGGTGCGCTGAGCCCCCTGCACAAGCCCTACGCACATAACTCACTTTTGATGATCGTGACCACGCTAGCAAGGGAGGTAGTCTTGCCCCACCTTACGGACGGGACAGCTCAGTCTCAGAAACTTCAGGAAGCTTGCACAAGACCCCGTAGCTCAGACCCTCCCGAACGCCAGGTCATGTACCCTGAGCTACCGGCTATGGAGACAGCAGGTGCTCCAGCCACACTCCTGGGACAGCGTCCCTCCCGTTCTCCCTCCCCCAGCCCTGTCCAGCATCACCCCTTCAGGAATGCAAGGTGCCCAAGGCCCCGGGGACAAAGAGACGTGGGTTGGAGTCGAGGCTCCACGCATCACTGGTCACCGTCACTCACGTAACCTCCACCAGCTTCAGTACTTCAACGATGAACCGGACCCAGGGACGGCCCCTACTTCACGATATTGTTGTGGGGGTTAAGGTGAGACCTTGCCCTGCACGGGGCACATGCCCTGCACGGGGCCTGCACGCAGCAAGCGTTGGAGGGCGGCCATCACAGGCTGGAGAGCACGGCTCGAGGAAGAGGGGTCAGGATACTGTGGCCGGAACAAGGCGTCAGGAGGGCAGCTGGTCCAGGTGATGTCCCCCTCCCTCCAGAGGCCCTGGACCTGGATGCGCACAGGGCACAGTGAGGACAGCGAGGGGGACCCACCTCCCACAGAGGGGGCATCTCTTACCTGACTTCCCACGTGCAGGGCACTCTTCCCGGTTCTTTGCAAATATGACCTCATTTAATCTAACAGGTCAGTGTAGTGGGTGTCATCATCCACCTCACTTAGTGACATGGAAAGTGACCCCCCCCAAGTTCTGCTCTGCCCCTTTGGGCACAGCTAGGCCTATGGCTCTGCCTCTCCAAGGAAACGGGAATCGGGTCCCCACGGCACCTTCCCTGATGCCTGCGCCCCTGAGAACCTCTTTCCCGGTGCCCAGAGCCGTGCCGGGCAGGGAGAGCCGTGCATCAGCGCTTTGGGATGTACCCAGGGCACTGTCCCCTGCTCTGCCCTCCCCCCGACTGTGGGACAAACACGGACAGGTGAAGATATCCCAGCAGGCAACGTTACGGGGGGGTGGGGCACACCGGGCTTCGATGCTGGCCCCAGCTCTGCCCGCCCCTCCCTCGCTGAGGGCCTCTGAGGTCCCAGAACATCGTCATCTATAAACACAGGTAATGTCGACCCCACAGTGCCACAAGGAGGCGAGCGCCTGGAGTAACGGCCGACACCTCGGTTCAGAGCTGTGGTCACCATCCCCCACTCAGGCGCAGCCCTGAGCCCCGGTCTGGCTCGGTCCCTGGGGCAGGCTCACCCACCCGAGCCTCCCTGGCTTCCTGGTCGGTAACCCCAACCTGCTTTGTGGGGTCGCCGTGGGCCAGGTGAGGTCATGGCACCCAGCGCGGCTCCAGCAGCTGTTCACCCCTGCGCTCATGATTAGCTCTCGCAGGACCCGAAAACCAGCTCAAGCCCCCACCAGACCAGCGGAGATGGTTCGGGTTCGCAGCTTGTGGGAGGGGAGCACTGGGGTGTTCGTGCCCTTGCAGCTCTTCCAGCTTTCAGGGGACCCCCCGGGGAAGAACCCACCACGGCAAAGCAAGGCTGAGGCCTGCACAGAAGGAACAGAAACCAGGCACTTTGTCTATAGCTCTGTGTCTTTAAATCTCCTTTTCTCCAAAAGTGTACGCTAATCCAACTGTCGCAGGGGCCTAAGCTACTTCGCTGGCTCTCGGTGATGGAAAGGACATGGGGTTTTGAAGTCAGATGACCTGGGTGTAAAGGCAGGTCTGTGGCTGCTGAGTGACCACGGGTAAGTCGCTTACCCTTTCTCAGCTTCTGCCTCCTCCCTTAGAAAATGGGAAAAAGAAGAGTATCGACCTCATAGGACCGTGAGGAAGGTCAAAGAGGACATGAAAGCAACCTAGGCAAATGTGGGCTACCCTTCACTGCGGAGAAGGCAATGTTCCAGGAGTCAGGACCTCGGGAAGTCGGTGGTCCTCCTCTATGGGTCTGAGCTCCCTACTTCCATTTCAGTGGTCCCTGTGTACCTGTGTCTGCTATTACGGACCACTTCGCATCTCTCTGGAAGGAGGCAAAATACAACAGCAAACAAAGCAGCTCCAGAGTGAGAAGTATGGCAGGTCAAGGGCTGTCGCAGCCGGTCTTCTCAGGAATGGGGTCAGAGACAAGGCCAGCCGGCCCCACAGGCAGCTCGCCCCCCAGCCCCAGCTACCCAGCCTGGACAAAGGGGAGTCTGGTCCCCAAAATACTGCCCAGAATCCCCTGGTTTTATACCGTCAGCCTCAGAGCGGAAGTCTGAGTTTTGTTCTCTATACAATTTTTAGAAGCAAAACGCCTTTTGGAACATTTTTTTCTAATGTGCCAACCCTGCAGAGCCGAATGCAGCCTGTCATGGGGTTTAAACGAGACCAGTCAGGTAGGTGAGACACTGGACCGGCCACCGCATGCAAACGTGTGCACAGCATGTCACACCATCATTCATAAACCGGAGTCACGGGCCTCCGCCGGGAGCCGGACACAGGTATATACCTAAGCAGCCTGTGTGTGTCCAACAGAAGCAAGCAAGCAAGTTCGGGGAACAAGGTGGAAATCACTGTGCCCAATTCAAACGTGGAACATCTCAGCCTTGTCATTATTTACAAGCTCCTAGAACAATGGCTACCCACAGAGGACAGACTGTCAAATGGAAAATTCTCAACAAGCGAATGTCCCCGCGTGAATGATGCAGCAACATATGACCATGCCGTGTCACTTCCTGGCCGCCGGCCACACGGGCACAGCACAGGGATCACAGTGCTTTCTGGGCGCGTGGCTGCTCGGGGTCCTCGACTCAGGGCGGCTGTGACAGTGTGGAGCCATCGATCTGCGCTCATGGGTTCTGTGGTGCTCTGGATTGACAGCCCAAGAGTACAGTTCGTGGGGGCCAAGAACTAACACTTTGAACCTGTGAACATTTTACAAAATCATTCTTCCCTCGGATTCCCGCCTCCCCTTGACTTTGGACATAACTCAGGATGGACGGACGGCCTCGCGCTGTGTTCCTGGCGTCGCGGAGCCGGCTCTCCCACCACAGAGTGCACAAACAGCCTGCGGGCTCGGGGCCGGTCAGGGCTCAGAGGCCAATGTCTGTGCCCTCCAGGCCGTCCCACGGACGCGCGGGCCATGGCCAGGGGTCAGAAGAAACACGAGAGGCTCAGGGAGTGCCACACACTCGGCCTGGATCCTGGGTCATTCCGTCCTGGGCAGGCCCCGCGCAGCCTGTCAGCCTGTCACCCCGCGGTCCCGGGGCTCCGCGTGCACGGCACAGAGATGTCGCAGAGGTGCGTGTTGCTCAGGAAGCAGCAGTCCTCGCCCAGGAGAGGGCCCACGGCCCCGAAGGGACCGCACCCCGAGTGCACGGCCCCTTGGCCCACCACTGCTGCAGGAACCCTCAGTCCGCAGCTGTCTCTCACGCGTCCCCGTCTGGGCCCGGCTCCTGCGAACTCAGCCTCGGAGGACGTGCGCGGTCTGAGTTAAGAGCTCACTAGCGTGTAGATCATGCTGAATGCAGAGAGAAAAGGAAGAGAAGGAATGAGCGGGAGCCCGCGAGGGACTCAGACTGACCCTCACCCGAGGGTCCTTCACCAAGCCAGGTCCTGTGGCTTCTTTCTCGTCCCGACCCTGGAGCATCTACTCCCCCGCAACTGGCCCCACTACTTCCCACCCCAATGGACTAACCCTGTGCTGTGAGCGTGCACCGAGTCCCTGCGGTAGAAGATGCGACTGCTGAGCGCAGCTGATTATCTTCATCCGCATGGTTATCATGGCCTGTGCCTCCTTCCTGCAGGTCCGGACCCCGGGCTGAGGCGTGCGGTGGTCCTCTCCACCCCACCCACCTCTCTGATACCACACGATACCCCACGCCGGGAAGAGGCCTGTCATCACCATTCTGAGGCCCGACGTGTGAATGCAGGCCCTCCGGGCATACAAACGACACGAATTCTGACCTGGGTCAATCCCTGGCCCTCCTGTGTTTAATGGAATGCACACATTAAACGTGCATTAGGAGCATGTCTGCTACGGTGGTGCCCCAACATGACCAGGGAAGGAGTCACGCATCTCTGTGCTTTTAGGAAGGGCTGCAGGCTAATTCTGCAACATCGGGGTACATTCCACACCAAAATATACCACTTTGCCTTCCTGGCACAAAGAAAAACCACCACCCGTTCACATTATAGAGAGGAAAAAGGGTCATCTGAGAAAGAAAACCAAGGGGAAGAAAGAGTGCTTCACTTCTAACCCTATCGAGTTTCCAAGGCCCTACGAGCTCCTCGGAGCAGCTGAAGTTCCATCTCTGCGAACCCGGTTCACCGCGTGTCCACAGAGCATCACTGGCCAGGCCCAAGCTGGAGGGTCTCCCTGCACTCAGGGGAGCCGGGGGTCACGTGAGAAGCGGACCATCGCTCAAGGTCACAGAGCCAGGGAGGCAAGGCAAGGAGCCATGTCCCACATCTCTCCGTGGTGCTACCGAGTGGCGTTACGGATGCCCTTTACCCGCTCTACTCACTTTCAGACGTTCAGCCACTCATTCACCATTATTGAGTGCCTCCTTCATGCCATGCACCATTCTTGGTGCTGACAGACAACGGTGAGCGTGCAGCCCGACACCTGCCTCGAGGGACAGCCAAGCTGCAGCAATAACAAGGAGCTCGTGAGCACCTACTGTGTGCCACGCTGCGGCCAGCGCATCACAAACACACAGGCGAATGAGACAGACGGGGTGTCTGCCATCAAGTCGGCCAGAGAGAAGATAATCATAGAGGGAGAGGAATACACATGAAGGAGGCAGCCATGACCCAGAGCAATGTGCGGGAGGCTGGTGCCACCTCACCCTCCTGGCTTGAGAGATGGTTCCGAGGCGCAGGCAGACCGTCCACCCTGGACTAACCCGCCAGTGTTTCCGTTTCTGTTGGCTAGGATCCACCCCAGGAACCTGCAAGCATCTCCTGGTCCACGGGGCACATGCTGGGGTGGTTAGCACATGATGCCGAGACGAGTCCAGGCTCTGGGGCAAGACAAATGCATCTCAGCTAGGGCCTCGGACACATTTCTCAATCTCTGCGAGGTCCTGTGAAATGCCAACCCCACCTTGACAGGGTCCCTGCGGCTGTCACTTCAGTCCGTCGCTGTGCTCAGCTTGGACGCAGCTGTCCACCTGCGTGGGCCCCCCTTTCCCCCACAAGAGTGGCCAGGGCTGATGGTCCTATGCACCCACAAGCCCTGGCTCCAGGGGGCTGGGAGTTCTGGGGCGGGAGACACAGGGTCTTTGAGGAGCTCGGCAGAGCCCTGGACGCCGGGTTCAACAAAGAAGGGGGAGCCCCGGCTGCCACCCAGGGTCCCGTGAGGCAGGGAACGGTTGCTCTAGTTTTGTTTTAGCAACAAAGTAATTAACAAATTCAACATGAGGGCAGAGCCAGACTGAACGGAAGGACAGACAGCCAACCGGAATGTCTGGGACACAAGGTTTACAGGATGATCACACTCAGGCAACGGTCAGGAGCCACCCCGCGTGCCCGCCGCCACCCCTTCGTGCCCCCTCCCGCCCCCCGCAGCCCCCTCGCGCCCCCTCGCGCCCCCTCTCGCCCCCCGCCCCTTCCATCCCCCGCCCCCCGCCCCCTTCCATCCCCCGCCCCCCGCCCCCT